TGAATACAAGGAAAAACTTAGAAAAAAATATGTAAATATGAACTGACATTGGTTGGACATTGTAATAACATACTAATACGAAATACACATGTCTATATATTAAAGATAAAATCGTTTGTAGACTGTAATAATTGTGAAATGGAGGATGTTGAAATAAAGAAAATATATTTTATCAAATATGCTATTTGTTGGAATATATCGATAAATGCTGTGAGTTGTGTGATTGTGATTGCTTTTGTAAATTAAACAAGTGAACTCTGGCTTCGCGTTCGACAGTTGATCTCGAAGCGTCGTTCAGAACTCACCTATGTATATTTACAATCCATTATGTTATTCTTATTCGATAATTAAACAAACTCTGACACCTTTCTTCTGTAAGATTATTTAAAGCAATTTAATTCTAAGTTGTTAATAAAATAATATAAAAACTCTTTATAATTATGTTCTTAAAATTTTCAGTTTCTTATTTCTGAAAAAAGCAATCCAATTCCAATTGTAATCAATGTTAGAATTTTACTTGTCTTGTATAGAATCTTAATCAACAATCAATAATAGTTTTTGATTATTAATATTTAATTTAATATTTAATTTGTTAACATTTCAATATGGAAGTAATGCATATGTAATGTTTAAGCAATGTTAACTAATTTAAAGAAAATAACGATGGAATAGAAAATTGAAAAGAAATATCAATATAAATCGATTTAATAATTAATTAATTTTCGACAGTTTGATAATAGAACGTTAATCTATATATCATATTAACGCGCTTAAAAACTTTTGTCATACATAATGTTAGACGAAATTAGCAGAATAAGGAAGATGGACAATCAGGTGTTACAAAAATGTGAGAAATACAAGTGATAATTCGGTTCTAATTGACTAATTAACACTTCATTGTCAAGCATCGAGAATGTCCATAAACTGAGTCATCCATGTTTTTGGTATTATCTATCTTATCCTTTTATATATAAAATAAAAAAATTTGAATTACTTGATGAAGTTGTTTACTATATTATGTAATAAGTTTTTTTTTAAATTAAATCTATGAACAGTTTCCTAGAAAAAAATAAAAATTTGCTTTGAAAAATTCATAAATGAAATTTCACACGATCCAGTGTCCATTTGTCTTGGAATATTAACGTGACAGCTCAGCTATCACGATCATGATCGATTTGCGTTTATTATTTCATTATTTTATTATTTATGTAAATTATTTGTTTTTAATTTCAATCAAAGAATATATAAAGTTAAACTAAAATATATGTAAATTAAATAGATGGTTCTTCGGAAGTTAATAATTCATTTCATAATTGTGATCATCAACTGAATCATAATATGACATAATGAGTCACAACATAACGTTAATAAACATAAGAATACAAAATATGTTTTTATACTATGTTATTATATTTATATATTCTATTTTGTTATGGTACAATCGAAAAATACAGAAATAAATTTTTCCATATAATGCTTTGTTTACGAGGAGATAGACATTGAATGTTTGTTAAATATATTTAAATTAAATTAATTCTGAGCTATATAAAAGTGAATAATCGGTAATATCCAAAGTAATTAATAAATAATTTAATATCGATTATTAGCACAAATAAGTTTTATTGACAGATATTTTACAAATCCATATTTGTAAAATATAACAGATATTTTACAAATTTATTTTTACTGTATAATAGTAACGTATTTTATCCGTTGATACATTATTCCATAAGCAATTTGATTCTTCATCTGAAGGGATGACATTTCGCATAAGTTTAACATACGTGTCATACGGGCATATTTTACCACACCAAGGAATCGTGTAAGGCTCTAATTTTTCGCCATTCCAAACTAATATCTGTGAACAAAATTCACAATGTTTAAGCTTCACATGAATCGTAGACAAAAATTTTTATTAAAAAAAAAAAAAAAATACAGGAATTCGAACGATTTTGTATATAATTAATTTGAATGGATCTAAAGAAAAGTTTTATTTTATATAATTTAAGAAAACGTACTTGAACGAAATGTTTCCCAATACTATCTCGCAATTTTTCGACTATAATTGCAGATCCAAAGCTGGGTATTCTAGGTTCAATAAAATTGTGTGCTTTGGCAAAAGCTGCAATGTTTACTTCGTGCCCACTGTATACATAGATCCTTGGAGAAGGATTTGCTTTTGCATTCATATTTTTGATAAATTCTTTTACAAGATGACCTCCATTTATTCGTTTCATTAACACGTTGTAAGATAGGATTTCATATTCTAATTCTACGATTGGGATCATTTGTTTCTGTACTTCATTAGTTGCCCATTCCGGAAATGCAATGTTCATACTTTCCTGTAACATTAAACGTGAAAAAAATAAAAAATATAAAAAACATTTTTTTTTTTACGTTTTATTATTATAATAATGAAATCACAATATTTTTTAATGTATTTATTACTTTACAAATTTGTACGAAATTAATTATTAAATGATATAAATGTAAAACATATTATACTATAAAATTCGATGTATATATTAAATTATTGAATTAAAATAAATAAATTTTTAAGAATAGTTAAAATTATTAAGAATAGTTAGATTGAATGTTTAATCTACGAGTTTTTCTGCAAAGTGTAAAACTATCATGAAATGTTATAATTCTTTTTTTTTAATACATTTGAGAATAATTGTATCCAATCTTCGATGTTTGAACTGTTCTATATTTTTGCATATAGAAAATCCGCAGGGGTAGATTTCGAACAATTAATAAACAATTATTTTACTCTTAAATTTCACATTTTAATTTACAACATCAGTTCTTGAATTTTCTATTATTATTTGTTTAACATTCTACATTTTAATAATCCGAATTGAGCTTTTGAAAATAAAAACTTGTTATCATATTATAGTAAGTATCATCTGAATTAGTATCTAGAGTTCAGTTTTTTAACAGTTTTCTTATTTTCTAAGTACTAAAGAAAGCGTTGGACTTAATATATTTTAAGTTATATATCTTTCGCAGTGACTATTAGATCGATAAAAGTTTTATTCTTAAAATATAAATATTTTGCTTGTAAAGATAAAAAGCTAATTGGAAATTCCTTTAATGACACTCTCTGAATTTTTTATTATATTAATTATAGGATTAATTTATAATTTTATCAATATTGTATCTTGTATCATTATCTAAAATTCTTTACGAATTTTTGAATATGTCTAGCAATCATTCAATATAAAATCAATATTATTACATTATCGATATTATTTTAAGAGACTTTCTAGTATGAAAATTATATATTATTGTAATTTTTCACTACAAAATAATATTTATATATAATAGAAAAGAAATCTTTTAAATTCATATTTATTATGATGTACATTATAAAATATGTTGCGCCAGAGTAAATGATATGAGTTCGATTGCTTATTTTATGTTATTGTTTTATATTGTTGAAATTGTTAATTGCTATAGTTATACTATTGTTGTGCTTATAGTTATACATATATGATGCTTTAAATTATAATTATTCTCGTTAAGTAATTAGACTATTAAAAAAAATTTTTCTAAAAACATTTATATCCCTAGTGTGCGGTTATAAAATCATAAAATAAAATAAAAGAATATTTTATACCTGTGACTTCAGGAAGTGATGCAGTACGTAAGTTGAAAAGATTGGATCCACTGTCATATTTATACCCGTATAATAATCAAGATAATCAAAAAGCTGTTTGTTCTTGATTATGTTTGTTTGAACCAAAAGTGAATTTTTCATTTTGCGATATTCTTCTTCATATCTAAAAAAAAAAATATTTTTATATATTAAATAGAATAAGTAGAATAAAACGAAAGATGCAAAGAAACATTCAGAATATACAGCAATAATCTCATAAAATATAAAAACAAATTAAGAAATTAAATTACGATTTATTTAATGCAAATACACAATAAATATGTGTAATGAGTCATATATAGGGTGGCCACTGAAAAACTGAAGCGTTTGAAAAAGTCATAATTTGTTCGTTTTCAATCTTTTTTATTTTCTTTTTTTTTTAGTTTTTCACACATGATACTGAGAAAAATCCATTAATTATATTTCCAAATAAAATAATAAAATATTTAAAAAAACATGTGTTTGTAAAAATTATTTTTGTTTTATATTATTCAGTCTCTCAGTGGTCACCCTGTATAAGTATATGATATTTAAAAGATGTATCTAAAAATGCATTAGAATGAAGAAAAAATTTTGTTATTAAACAATTGACTAACATCTTTTCAATAAATATTATAATAATTAATGTATTATACAATATAATATATGATATAAATTACAAATTAATAAATTACAAATATATATAATAAATTACAAATATAAAGAGATAATTCAATTTTATCTTTCTTGAAGTGTTTGAATTCTATAAATTGAAATTATTTTTATGTAATTAGAAAATAAAATTTATCTTATCACCAGTAATTAATATCTTGTTATAAGAAAAAAAAATTATAAAAGAGACACATTTATTAATAAACAGTAATTTTTTAACATTATTATAAGATTAGATATATATTATAACATAATAATATAATATAATATATAACATATAATAAATTATATAATAATTACTTTATTTTTAATTGTACAATTGATATTTTATGTTCGTTACAAATATAAATATTATTTTCGTTACTATTATTTTCTCATAAATATTGTAATGCATGATATAATTTAGTAACAAATAAGAACAAGAAGAACATTGTATTTAAATTAATTCATATACTCACACTGGACAACGCGTTGGAAATAGTAGATTGTCTATAAGTATTGGCAAGTATTGCGTTGCTATTGGAGATAACTCGATGTGACCTACGTTACTTAATGTTGGAGGATATATACCGGCCAAAAGGAGCTGCAGTGACATTTTTGTTCGATCAAAATCTGAACTGTAGGCATAAACGCTACCATACTTATAACTTCCACCAAGAAATGTACTATATCTTTTTCTCAACATTGCACCAAGAAGAAGTTCCCTTATTTTCCCTTTCTGGCAAGCAGAATAAAAATACGTTAAATTATAGATATACTGATACAACAATATATTTATACTAACAATAAAAGTAATTTTATCTCTTATTTTTATAATTTACATATTTAAATTTTCTTATTTTAAAATTTATTTTTTTATGTTATTCAATTAATTCATTCAAAGAAAGTAATTTTATTTTTACGAGAACTGTTGATCAAAGGACTTCTTATTATTATGTATAGTATTCTGATAAAAATGTACATCTACAAATTGAATTTATAGTAAGAACGATGTTAATTTTATGATTTAAAGAAACCTAATTTTAAATAAAATTTAGAAAAATGAGTTTAGTTTTAAAATTTTTCCTACCACTCGATTTGCAAAAAAATAGTTTCATCATATAATGTAAAAACATTTATAAAAGCAATTTAATATGTCTAATTCCGTACGTGCTATGTATTTTGATTTTACGAGACGAAAAAAATATCCTGCAAAGTGAAGTTTTCATACAGAATAATAGATATTGGTTCTTTTCTTTGATATATTGCGAAATAATAAATTTTTTTATATATATTTATAAAGGAATTATTATTTTATTATTTTTAATTTTAGTTTTAATTTTTAACCATTATACAAAGACATTATTTTAAGATGATAAAATAATAAGATACATAAGTAGAGTTAGCATGTGTAAGCAACGAATATGTAAGAAATATGCTAGTATGCAATATATTTTATGTTCGTTATAACTAATATGCAATATACACAGAAAATATATGAAATCTTATATAAAATGTGTACGAAATATATGATGTGAATTTTATTATTTTTACTTGTTATAATTCGAGTAACAATAAATTACGATCTCTATTTCAAAATTATCAACTATAAATTTATATAGTTATCTATTTGGTTGTTAACGTCAATTTATAAAAAATGAAAAAAATGTAGACTTTGAAATAGATTAAATGATAATCTTGGATTTTTACGCATTTATCAAGTCTATAAATATTTCTTTTGACATTTTTTTTATCTGATGTACCAGTAGTGTTCTTCCTTTCCTTCATAGTGCAAGGAATTGATATCACTTTAGTTTTTATGTAACCCCATGAAAATAATTCATGTGCTTTAAATTTGATGATTATGGTCGTCCAATTTATCTGTTCGAAAATTTCGTTTCTAAAACATTGTATAATGGAAAATCATCATAGGAACATATCTTTTTTTTATACGGAATGTATAAATGGTCTAAGTATAGGAAAATTGTTTTTTAAGAAATTTTCGTACCGTAGTCAAAAAAATAGAGTCCAATTTCATTCTTGCCAAGGATACTACACAGACGTTTAATGATCCAATTGTTTTTGAAATACAATAGTCCGTATCCAGTATATAAAAATATAGTTTTGTTGGAAAAATGAATTAATAAAAAAAATAAAAATAACTTATCTTGATTAATATGATCACAATATTATGTACAATAAATAATACGATTTTGAAAATCGTTCGCGAACAAATCTTGATATAATTACATATATAATTACATATATAATTACATATATAATTAAAGTGATATTTGTTGTTCTCTTGTATTCTTAAAATTGAAAAAATGATTTTACTATCGCGTTCTAGTTATCGAATGAATTAACATTTACTGCTGCCAATATTACAGTAACACAATAACACATCTTTATCATTGATAACACGCTTTTCTATGCAGTCTATTAACTTTTCTTGAGCATGTAAAAATGCTACACACAATTTCTAATAAAATAGCAGCTTGTCGTTAATTACGATTACACTTGCCTAAGATCAATAACATGTCAATACTTCCATCAAAGTTAATTATCTTGAATCTGTGAGGAAGGTTAGTATTAGAGAAAAACTAATAAATATTGAAACCATTAGCTCATCTCTTAAGAAAATAAAAATTATGATATTGTTAATGAAAATATTCCAAGAAATCATCTACGTATTATCCAATTAGTATTATTAAGTATTATTCAAGCGATTAGAACATATTTACAATCAAACGGTTTGGAAACTATCCAAATAATAAAAGATTAATACCATCTTGCTTTTGTCAATTTAAAAAAAGTTTAGGGGATCCTTTTTCTTATTTCTAACAGGAATTCCAAGAAAATACATATATACTAAAATATGAGTCTTCCTGTACCATTTAATCCTATCAAAAATATTTTCATTTGTTTCTGAGAAGATAATACTTTATTTGAATCATTCTGTATATTTGATATTTTCCTATAGATATTAATTATATACTAGATATTAATTATATACTATAATCAGCTTATAATCAGAGGTATTTCAATTTAATTAAAAATTTAAAACTTCGAGAAAAGTTTGGAAGCAATTATCTGGCTGTTAACAGCATAATGAAATTAAAGAAGAAGATTTAAAAATTTAGACTTAGTTTTCTTTGCTAAATAAGCTTTCCAGTATTGAAATCATATTATTCGTATAAAATAAAATTATAATAATAAAGAATCCAATTACAATCATTGTATTTCACTGTACTTACCTCAGTTAACTGACCATAACCAAGTGTGTCATAAATAGGATTGTGAGGTAATTTAGGATATATCTCTGCTTTACTTGGTGTTCGATCGCCATGTCTAAATATCTACAAATTAAAAACAAAATTATTAGAATTGTAAAAATTACAATTTGTAGTTTATTATATTACGAAAGTGATATGACAAAATTACCGTCTTTCCTATCGATAATATATTCCATTTTATATTTATTATTAGACTGAAAATTTTTATATAAATTCATATTTTTAAAAAAATAGAACAAAAAAGTAGAAAATTGTTTAACATAATAAATATTATAAGAAAAATTATACGTCGGATATTTTATACATTTTTCCATGTGATGTGCATTTTGATGGTGTAACTTTACACTTTCAAATTTTCTATAAATATATCGAAATCTGCAGTCTATTAACGGCCAATCTGCAAATTAGTATTTATTTTTTAAGGAAAAAGGAAGAATGTGTTATCAAAATTTAGTCATTCATTTCTTATTTATCACGTATAAAATATATTTCAATTTAAATTGGGGGATTATTAAACTGGATAGATTAAAATTTTCATATTTCTAAAAGATAAGCCTTGTTTAATCATTCTGAAAGCATGTTTTATCTGAAATAGCTTATATTTCATTTTTCTTTTTGTACAAATGTATGTCAGATTGCACGATATTGATCAAAATTCTTTTAAGTATGCTTTCTGAAATACATATCTATCTGATTGGAAACATTTGTTCACACATTTTGCGTTGTATTATACATTCTTTATCTTGACACAACATCTACATGAATTAAATTTAGATATTGATATTTGATATAATAATATTTGAAAAAAAGTAAATGTTATAAAGGCGTCAATGTGTCAGACAGATAAAGTGATAATCAACAAAAAGAGATTATATAAGAAAATTTATCGATTTTAATTCATTGACATCTTAAAAAGTCTTCCTCGTGTTTCACAAAGACAATCACTTTGTGATTCATTGAATCATTTAAAATTTTCCAAAATACTTTTTATTACAAAATAATATTTTGAAGACATAGATATTTTATACGTATTTGTGCATATATATTTTTAGTTTTGTATGTATTTCATATTTTATTTTTTATCACAACCGACATAATTTATATATTTTGTCTTATCATATGTAACGAATACAAACTTTCACTTGTTTCAGTTAGAATTTAAATTAAGTAACACATAAGTTGTTCTTTTTCTACAGTTTCTTCAAAACGGTACTAAGATGGACAGTTAATTCATTAAAATGTATTTTGTTCGCATTTATTAGTACATATATAGAAGTACAAGTACATATATCATTTTAAACTATATTAACTCTTAAAACTTGAGCGACCATGCATAGTTGTGCCATATTTAATGTTACGAACTTACACGTAATGATTGTCACACTTAACACATTGTTGACGGGAAATTTTAAGCAGAAGCTATCTCATGTCACCGGCTATTATTTCGTAATTGAAATGTGAAAGTGAAACAATCTAAATAAACTTTAATATACCTTATTTATACAGAATGAATTTAAATAAAACTGTAATAAATTTTTATACTTTTATATATATTACATTTTATACATGTAATATATATTTATATAATATAATTATAATAATATTTTTTTTGGTGTGATAAACTGTATAACAATCACCTAAGTGTAATGATACACAACAGGTTTTATCTAATATATATCTAGTTTTGCTGCGATTTTCTTTTGAAGAACGTGTTCCAGTTGAATTTTCTTTTATACCAATGACTATTTTTTCTAAAACATTTTTTAGTTGTCCTGAAAGCCTAAAAGCTGAATCAATGTCACGATTCAAACCTAAATATTAATAATTTTTTTTTTTATAAATTAATAAAGTGAACATGGTTGAACACGACGAAGAAAGATTTCACAATATCCTGTGTTTAAAAATATAATAAGAATAAATAAAAAATATCAATATAATAACAATAAATAAAAAATAAATAGATGAGATTCTAGTAGAATCATTAAATGATAATTTCAAACATCTAATGCATGTTTCTATATCGGATTTCCAATTATTACGTTCGTGTTAGGTAAATGAGCTATGTTTAGTCCAAAAATATTTAATATATATCTAACATTAAAGAAAAATTAATATTACAAGTTATATTAAATTGGTAAGTAGAATGTGATATACAGAATGGTTTGTAATTAGTGATACAATCAGGTATAGGGTGATTTTACGAGAAAAAATAAGTCGAAAAGAAAGGAATAAAATTTTTTCGTCTGATGCTGTGTTTTTGAAAAAATCAACTCTAAAGTTTCATTTAGCATTTTTATTTGTAAAATCATATTATTATAAAATCAATTTTAAATTAAAATGAAATTATAAGCATTGATCAATTAAAAGAAAAGATTGTTTCTACATTTAGGATAATAAAGTAGCAAAACACGTTGCAATGATATAGTGTAACAAAAGGAGCACAATTGTGTATTGAATATGACAGGAAATATTTTCAATAATTTTGAATGTAATAAAATTTCGACGCATTTCCATGACATTGGAATTTATAAATACAAGCATTCAGAGTAGTATTAGTTTATCACGAGATAAGATTGGTATAGTGCTAGATAAAACTTTAGATTTGATTTTCTTGAAAAC